AAAAAAAAAAAAAAAAAAAAAAAGAAAGAAAAAAAAAAAAGAAAAACATTAAAAGGAAAGAGAAAATAGAAATTTGTAATAAATAAACAACAATTTTAGCTGAAATTTATTATAAATATAAAAACAAATGTAATTAATAAAAAGGTCAACTTTACGGATGCGTACGTTAGTATGACTATGCAAATATACACAAAAATGCATATACATACAAATGCATAAATACATATGTATGTCTATATATGTACATATATGTAATTGCATCCCAAAATTATAAAAAGCATACTTGCATAGGTATTTATTATTGAAATGATTAACTTTGATAAGGTTTGTAAAAAATCTTAAGTAGTTTACATTGTACATGTGTATATAAGACATCATTTACACCACTATCTATTAAATATATTGTTCGTTAAATCAATATTATTAAAATAATTGCAAATTGTATGATTAATATTAAGTTTTTAGTAGAGATTAAAATATAAAATAAAAAATAAAACACAAAAGCCTTATTAAAAATAAAAATCGCAATTATTTACTGCGGAAGATCTCAAAGGTTGTACAAGCAAATGGCATTGCTCTCGATGCTTCAAATCATTCTGAATAAATTTGTTGCTCAAATTATTTGCTACTATTATTATTATTATCATAATTTATTCAGAATGGGAGAATTGCTCAGACCAAGCGGAAAACTGCATTCTGCCGCTTCTTTTACAATCTGGACTGCGTCAGATGCCCTGAATACGCTTGCACGTATTATATTAAAAAAGGATCTGAATACTCGCAAAGTGCGTATAAGTTTTCGGCATAGACTGACTGCCTGTACAGCAACAACAGCAGTTTCGATAATAATAGATGCATACTTACACTTCGGAAGCATTAAATTCGTATTTGCTACAACGACAGATTCATCTTTTCTATTCAAGCCCGGTATTTTCCTTCTTCAGTCAATGGGATAGGATTTTCAAGTGCATACTCAGCGCATCTGTGTGGGATGTGGTGTGTGTGTGTGTGTTGTACATATAAATAAATGCTATTATCTCATTAAGCAAATGATAAATTTCAAGGATTTTATCCTAATAGATGATGGCCCAAGAGTCGCGTAAATTTGGCAATTCGTATACCATGCAGTCATTTTATACATTTGTACTTTTGAGAAGTGACAAACCATAGATAACCAATAAGCAATATTGAAACATTAGTTTAATTTAATTGAAAGCGGTTGCGTTTTCATAATAACTTGAAAATAAAAGTCGGGGAAAAAAATCGCTATGCTTTACGGTATAAATTCCATCAAGACGATAGGCACTTCATAGGGAAGGTATATAAAGATGATTTACTATTACTGTAATCAAGCAGCATGTGAACGGCTTGTACGGTTCCTTTCCTTCTGGAAATTTCGATATTAGAGACAAGCTGTGTTAAAAAAAGTCGAGGAAAGTTGACTTATTTCGTCGTATGACATTATTGCTGCACTAACACGCGGCCGATTTGTTGCTTTCGGTATCGAAATAGTGTAATTAGAATAGTAGCGCTTTCAGGATTGATGCAAAAACATAATATATAATGATTTTGATTGATGATGGTATTCGTTTAGTTTCGAATCGTATATAAGATAGAGAAGCAAAGTGAAAGAACAAATAAATATTTTTTTAAATAACTTATTGAAACGTAAGCTGAAACAATTGGATGTCAAAATGTATGAATCGTGGATGATTTGATAAATTTACAAAGTTTTGATGTCAAGTTCTCCATATAATAATGGAGGACAATGCTAATTAACTCAGAGTAATAATTGAATTAAAATTTCGAATTCTTTCTCTTCAGTGACGAGCGTAAATTTTCTCTATTTTCATATTGAGTATGGAGCTGCTCTTCCTCCGTTTGTGTAGATCGGCTCTGCAAACACTTTTGTTTTTCCCAAATCAATTTTTATAATTGCAGCATTTCCAGGTTCCAATAGTTTTGTGTGTCACATCTTTGTTGTTGTATTTTTTACTGGGCGTATTGAGGATATACGCTATCTTCATAGGTTTTGGTAATGAATTTTAATTCTATAATCATTGCCCATTAATTCCTTCTCGATAATTCTCTCTCTTCTTTTTATTTGATTGCACCAGCAGCGGAATTCCATAGTCCATAGCCCTTTTATGTCCGTTAATTGTATCAGGTATATGCTTTCTCCATCCAAGTTTTATTTTGCCCGATAACAAGTTTTCGATCGAAAAAAGAATGTCATCAACTCAGTATTGAAAATTACGAAGAAGCTCTATGTTCGGGTATCAGCTGAACTAGCAGCTGGTAAAACGAAGTGAAATCGGATACGTTTCTGAACAGATTAACGTAGAGTGATGTGAAAATTGCGTCACGTTCGGTAATAGTGTGGAAAAAATGTAGTGATTTGAGATGAACAGAGATGTATAAGCGATTGGAAGGAAACGTGCATGACGACTTGTCTGAACCTGTTCACTTCCTACTGTCAACCATTAATGCAGTTGAAGCGCGCAATTGGGGAAAAGCTAAGTACATTGCATTCAGAACTGATCATTAGGAAAGGTATCAGCTTCCGTTATGAAAATGTCAACCAACACACACTTTTCTAATATTTCGGCGAAAATTGAGAGAATCGGGTTAGGAAATTTTGATACGTACGCTAATCGTAAATTTCGAAATTTACACTTGTCGTTAATATAATCCAATCCATTTTCAATGATCTCCGTGCCTGGACCAAAACACATTAACCACCAATACGCTTATATAATTAAAGATGGTTCCTTCTGGCTATTAAATACATCCACTATGTACTAACGTAATATTACATATTCGGTACCATACATGTGTGGCAGAGAATAGTTGACAAGTATTCCACTCTCCAAGCTCTTTTGTTCGCTGCTCCTATTGAGTAGGTTATTAAGAACGAGATAGTTCCGCAATTCGTGGCAGTCAACTTTTTATACCCTTCACCATTTGCGGTACAGGGTATATTAACTTAGCGCGGTTGTATGTAACACGCCGAAGGACTTAAGATAGATCCACCTTTTAATATAGGGAACGATTCAGAATCATTAACTGAATTGTTCTAAGCCTGTCTGTCCATCTGATGTCTGTCCATGTAAATTTGTGTTCAAGCTACAGGTCGCAATTTTTGAGATATTTCGATAACGAACGCTATTGGACCGGTCTTACGAAAAAAATGTATATCGCGAAGCATTGAAAATTATACCATAATAGTAATTTAAAATGAAAAAATTAGTTGTGCCAAATTTGGACGATCTTGGCCTAGTTTTTGAATCCTATCCTAATAGTGTTTTTTACGAAAATTGATTCATTGTAGAGCAGAAAAGTCCAAGTTATAATATGTGATCAGAATAATTGATCCATAATATTAGTTTCATACAAAAATGAACACTACAAAATTTGGACCGTCTAGGCCTATTTTTCGATCCTGTCCTACGTAGGGATTAAACTTGTACCACATTAGGTTGCAATTTGGGCCCGCACATGAAAAATATCTCTTTATATAGAAACAAGATACAATTTTTGTGTTCTATAATAAAAATAAGAATTGCGTTAGACAATGTGGTGTAGGGTATTTATTGGCCCTGCCCGGCTATAATGTTCTTTTTAGTTGTTTTCCACAATATTTTACAATATTTTTGGCAACATGACGATATTATGCCGAAAGAACTTATATTGATTTGGCAGCGATCCACCTACCGACCCATTTACGCACTTCTTCAACTTTGTGGTTCCGCGTGCCAACCAAGCCATGCTGCACCGATCTAAGCAAGTGGTAATCAAGAGGCGCCGTGTCTGGCGAGTACGCTGGAAATGGCAGCACTTCCCATTCGAGCTACAACGGTGCAACAAGTGGCTGAAAAGCGGCATTTTCAGTCAACTTGTGTCGCAACTTTTAAATCGTTGGACCGAAAACCGACAATTGCGACATGATGAAGCAGCATCAGCTTAAGTTTCTGAACGTGTTTGTTGGGCTTCGGCAGTAGATTTCTTCAAATAAGCAACAGAAGTAAGGAATTTGGAAGAAGAAACATTTTGAGCGTTGTAATACCGTTGTTTTAGGCAGAGGAACTAGAACTGGCATTCTTCACTTTTTATCACTTTTACCTGTAGAAGTCGCCGATCAACATTTTTGCAAACATCCAATACATTAAGAAATACTCCCTTTACTACAATACTCCCTTTAAGTAAATGTAACATATATTCAATATGCGATAATAGCAACGACGAACCTTTAGAACAAAAATTACTTATCAGAAATTTATGAAGGGACAGTATGTAGTGTTACGAAAATGGCATTTTTTCATGATATGGGTTTTCATGAAAATTAGTCTTTTTTCTAAGAAACTAAATTGTAGAGAAGGGGAAGACAATATACACATTCACGGAGCGT